GGGATACTAAACCAACTACACTTTTATTCCCAAGGGTAAGTGTAAGTATACGTGGTTTAGCCTGCGAGCAAGCTCTCCGGGGCGCTCTGGCGGCGGGGTGGGAAAAGGGAGGAGAGCTTTGGAATTTGAATGCCTGCATCAAGAAAGTCTATGCGAAATGCTGATTGGCGGAGATGACATTAGTAATGACGTTATTACCCTCGGCACGTGTTTTTTAATGTTTGTTTACATTCGCACTCGTTTTCGCTTCGCGCTGATTGGCGGAAATCGGACAGCTCAATCGACGGGGAGCCAAAGGGGAATTGAAGGTGGAATTCAAATTCCAGAGACGTAGTTACAAGCTCTCTTCCTTTTCCCGCCCCGCCGCCAGAGCGCACCGGAGAGCTTGCTTGCAGGCTATACGTGGTTGTAATGGGCAGGAATGGATAGACTGTTACGGAGACAGCATGGCCGAGTGGTTAACGCGTCGGACTCCGGTGGTCCCGGGTTCGAGTCCCGCTCCAATCACCAGCTGGATTTATTACTTGTTCTTCCCAATTGCAAATCCTCCGTCAAGCTTATACAGTCAACTCTTGCCTTGCGGAAACCCCTCTATAACGGACACCCCAATAATACGGACAGCAGCTAAGTCCCAGCAAAAATACAGTAGACATGTTTGACTGGAATAAACTCCCGCTATTACTGACTCTCGATAATGAGGACACTAACTCAAGGTGTTTACAGCGTCCTCTATAAAGGGAGTTGACTATATTTGATTATTATGTGAGTGTTGTGCCTGTAAGCTATCTGGTAATTTAAGAGCACTTCCACTATAAACAAACCTTTTCCTGACTGTCCGCCAAGCCGGGACAAGCGAAGTTGCCGTTAGTAAAAGTTCGACCGTATTCTATCCTGTCTTGTCACCGGAACAAATGATACTTAGCAAAGAACTCAGCCTAAGCTTCACAATATTCTTGAGAATAACTTTGGTTATCAATTGTTCTCCAACAGGTTGTACTACAAAGACAAAGACATTCTTTGCCGTCGACCTATTGAACCGTTAACAGATGAAGAGAGGAACAATCATCTTTTTCCTGTGGTGGACATTTGCAGCTAACATTTGTTTACGCGTGTATTAAATATATCTTCGGTATGCTTTCAATTGTCCTTGTAACCTCAGAACTGAGCTCAAAATAATTGGCGGTATCACCTCTCTTCGAAATTGGCAAAAGCTTAATCTTAAAAGAATTTAAAATTTTCTACCAAAAAATGTAAAATGAAACAAGCAGCTTACAAATAGCGCTTCGCTTAAAGTATTGCTCAAAAGCTTTTATTGCGTTTTTCCCACCTCGCGATTTTCTCCGTAGAGTGGAAAGTACAACCGCCCTGTACAGCATAATTAACAGTGCCTCAGGAAATTCAATCGTTACAGTAAAAAAAAAAGTCACATGTTAAAAAAACACACAGAGTTTTTATGTTCTATAACTAATTTATTTCGCGGAATCTGAAGATGCCTCAACACTAAGGGCGCTCAAAGGACATCAAAACGTTCAGACTTTTTGTCATAAATTTATTTCAAATGATCTCTGTATATGTACAAACGAAAGTTTAAAACAATTATTTCCATGGCAATTTAATTACTCTTAATACCACATGTACAGCTTTTTTCATTAATGACAATCTACCCTCGGTTTGAAATACGTATTATGGATACGGCAAATTTTAAGTATAGTGCCTTGAATAAAAATAATCAGGGCGTACAGCAAGGCTGTCAATAAAAATACCTTAAAACTAAAGATTTACTTGTCTTTTCTTTGTACAATTGAAGCGTTTTCAGTTGATCTTTGAAGGTGATTTCGATTGCCCGATATTGCATCAAATTAAAACCTGCATTTGGGAATCCCCGTTTTAAATGGAAGGTTTCACGATTCAGCGCATGCTCATTAATCAAAATGCGTTTTTTCTCCTTAAACAAGCTGTATCGTCTGTGCAAGCAATATGATCATGTCATAATGTTGTCAAAGAACCAATCTGCACACTTCCCTGGTAGTCACTTGATCAACTTATGCGCAAGCAGCTGTAAATTCATTAACCATGGAATAAGACCTTCGGGTCAACAGTAAATTCAACGTTAGCAGTGTTGATTTTTTCTTCGATTTTAGTACACCTGCATACAATTTCAGGTCACTCTGAAATACACTTCTACTTTGAAATACACTCTGAGAACGCTGAGATACATGTGAGTGGGATTATTAAACGATAGAATTAATAATAAATTGGAAAAAAACTTAATGAGCATGCGCTGAACCTTGAACCTGTCCCTTTAAATGGAAGTGGTGAGTTAAACTACCCCATCTCCCAAGTTAGCCTAAAATTTAGGTTTCTGGGAAGCTGCCTACCTACCCCTCCCCTAAGTTAACATTAACACTTACTTCTCAGTTGGGGCAAAATGTTGGGTTAGGGGAGGGGTAGGTGGGCAGTTTCCCAGGAACCTAAATTGATCCAACATTTCTCCTCACTTCTTCACTTCGAACCTTTATCAAGCGATTGCCAGCGAGGCACCCACGGTTGTTGGAGTATTAAAAGTATTCAGGTTCCACTCCATTACGTCATTTTTGTGAAAAAGATTGAAAAATGATTATCAGATGTCTTAATTGCTTTGTCTTTAATTGCTTTCTAAGCTATGTGACTGGCTGGAAAATCTGGCGCCACTTTCATCCAATCAAAAACTTCCTTTTGTTTCTCTGTAAATGTAAGTTAAACCTGCCCTTCGGCCTGAATTTACGGGCCGTGTTAAAAATGCTCTTTGGCCGGTGTTAAACAGCGTATTTTAATTAGATGAAAATGATAGATTCTAAACTAGGTTCGCCTTTTCAAACGCGTTTCCTGGTCTCCTTGACTTGATGCTATTTTTTGGTTGTGTATGGTTTCGTAGAATTGAATGAGATCGTACAAAAGGAAAAAATGTATGGCTATTTTTTACGATTATAAATTCTACTTTGTTTATGATCTGATTATAAACGAGGTACGAAAGTGACCCTTTGCATGAGGCTTCTTACAAAATAACTGGGTGCAAAATCCTTTTTAGGACAAATTCCACTAACATAAATTTGTATTCCCCAATAAGGATAATGTGGTCTAATACCCAAGCGTCCTATCCCAATGTGAGTGCAAAACCCGTTTTAATAACCCTGCAATTAAGGCAAACGCATGGCTTAAGAATATGAGGGGAAATGACTTTGTAAAACTCTTAGCTTATAGGTAGACTACGAGTAGTCCCCCATTTTTCCTCAGGGATAGTAGAGCGAGCAAAACGCGAGCGCGCGTGAAAATCAACCCACGCGAGAAAAGGCGACACGCGTTTTGCTAGCTCTACTATCCCTGAGGAAAAATGGGGGACTACTCGTAGTCTACTTATAGGCGAACCTTGGCTGACGTCATTGTTTACATTTTTCCTCATTAGCATACGCTTAACTCATAGAAGCCGTGGCCGTATATTTGAAGTAAATGCAAAAGTTGAAAGAGCTCATGAAGTTGAGCAATTTGTGCAATTTTCAGCTCTTTGCAAGCAATATTGAAGGAAATATCAGCCATCAAAAACTGCGAAATTACTGGGTCGCAAAAAAGTTAATAATGAGCCATACATTCTCTGTAAAATTTCGAGTTTGTAGAAGAGAATTTCGCCGAAACCATTCGGTGTATTGGGCTCAAATTTTCAGAGATAACTGAAATTGTTATGTCTTTTCAACATTCAGAGTCTTTATTTTTAGTGATAAGCATATGTTAATGAGGCAAAAAGTGTAAGCAAAGATTCGTCTATATCATTACAGAAACAATACCAAATGACCAGATACTGTTGTATGGATGGTTAATACATTTGACATGAAGAAAAAACTTCAGTGAATCTATAAAATCATAAAATGCTTGAGATGAATTTTATCTGGTCAAAAAGAATGCTGAAAAAAATTACTTTTTAAAAAAGTCTTCGTGCCATTATAGCTTTGCTAGAATTTATATATTCATCCCTTTACAAGTAGACTATCTCAACGTTATTCTTCAAAAAAACTACAAATTTCGTCTAAAAAATAAGTTCATTGTTTGTACGTAGAAGTAAAGGATGAAATCTTACCAACACAGATTTCAAGTCCTATCATGAAAGTCGATCAAATTAAAATTGGTAACGTCAGCAAATTTTCCTTTTCGCCCGGACGACTGCTGTTCGTAACCTCCTCGGAAATACTTGGGAACTTTTTTAGCAATGAATCCTTCTTACGAAGTAAGACATTTATTTCTTATCCCAGCAACAAGAAGTATTCCATTACTATCTGTGATAGCGTACTCTCGCTTTGCCCAGTTCGTCATCTACTTCGTATTCAGCACCCTGCTGTTTAACACAACAACACAATTTACTGAAAAACGACTTCTTCTCGCCACGTTCTCGGGTCTTATCGGGATAGTCCGGATCGAGGTTATACCGTCGGCTCACATCCCTACGTTGTCCCTTTTTAGATCGCGCTGTGCGTCTTCGCTTTGCTTCTCTAATAATCTCATTCTTCTTCCTTAGAAGAGTTCCTGTACTATGCAACAGATCCACTCCCTCGGGCCTATTTTCTGTTTGTAGGGCGGATGGGCTCTCTGCTGAGTCTTTCAAATCGATATCACTGTAAGGTCGCTGATTATCAGCGCCATACTCGCCAACATCCACCGCCCTCTCCATGTAAAACGGAAAATCGGTCATGGTTTCTGCGTCAGACGTCAGCGGTCTCTCACTCGCCTTTTCTCTCGGTTTAGACAGAGTGAGGAATTTGATTTCGTTTTCTTGTTCTCTTACAGTTTCCTCAACACGTCGCGCCTTGTTCATTAACGCTTTTTCACGGAGCTGTGAGCTCTCCAGGCAAGCCTCGAAATCTTTCTCTCTTTCTAAGGCGTCGCTGAGTTCATCTAGAGCCTCTGTGAGATCACTTTCCAAAACGATTACCTTCTGCTTGAAGTCCTCTGTTACTCTCTGTATCAAGTAAATTGAGACAGTTGTTACACCTGGCCACAGTAAAGAGCAAGTTTAGGATGCGTGCATGTGCAAAATCTCTTGGCTCCAAAAGAAAAAAAGAAAAAGAATATTTGGTCGTAGATTGCAAACTTCATTCGACTACCTTTGGATTACCTTATAAATCCCTTCCTGCGACAAATGTACGACGCATTCCAGCTGCCATATTTCGGCATTTATGTCAGAGTAAAATAACAACTTATCGGTTAATACTGCATGACAGCATTTTGTCACAATTCAATAACGACGATCTAAAGTCGTACACTAGATAATCACTTGCTCCGCTTTGTCTCATTTAATTATAACCTCTTAAGCTTGTTCATGTTCGTTTGATTCTTTATATTATTATTATTATTATTATTATTATTATTATTATTATTATTATTATTATTATTATTGGAAAAAATCTTATGCTGGCAAAATGGCGCCGACCATAACAGCAGTTTCAGTTTACAAACACTTAGAACTTTTTCAGTAAACTTTCAAAACTTTTTGTAAGTCAACAGCGTATTAGTGATATCTTACACTCTCAACACTGATAGTAGCAACCTTAGCTTTGAATTATTTTTTTCTCCATAAGAATTGTTTTGAGCTGTTTTTATCTGCTCATTTTCTATTTTGAGAAATGCTCAACCTGAATCTAACGTTTGCTGTTAGCCGTATACGTGAAACTTAAATTCTCTAGTATTTGCCAATACAAGTTATCGCGGTCGAGTTTGTTTATTCTAACAAAACGAGGTGACGGTTTAATAGTAATGCAAAATGTACACTTCGAGTTCGTTTGCTGTGAGGTCTACGGTCGATACTGCATCCAAATAAGTAACAAAGAACACTTCCACCCATAATTTGCCATTATCGTCTTTAAAAGTGATGAAAAGATGAAAAGATGAAAAGTTGTTCATTTTCTGTTGTCTAGAAGAAACAAACTCGAACGCGATTTCCCGCACTTGCAAATTTTATCGCTTGTTTGCCAGCTGAGAAAACACGTGACATTGCTCTATCCCTTCAGTCCTTTAGGGCGAGCAAAGATGGCGGGTATCGTTAATGATTAACAATTAGTGGACGAGGTTGAGCAAAATATCGTGATTTGTCTGTGGCGAGCAGATCAATTATGTGCCGAAGCTGAAGACTGAGGCAAATGACTGATCTGCGAGACACTCACAAATCACGATATTTTGCGATAACCGAGTTCAACCATTGTTTTATCATTAGATCACCGAGTTTGTTTTTTTATTGAATATCTTTGGGAAGCGAAAAGATCTGCCATTTTCACGCAAGAACGATCGCAAAAAGGTGAAAAGCGTGGTTTCATTTACGCAGTAGCAAAGTATTATTTGCAACCAAAAAAAGTTGGACGACAATGCGCATGCACTCCCACTCCACAGTGACTCACCTCCCTTTCTTTTTGTTCCATGTAAAGTCTCAGCTTTAAATCGAAGTTTTCTTTCTTCAGTTCTTGAATCAACTGAAAATAAATGATTGCAAAATTGAAAAAAAAGCATCAATTTGCAAAATGAATTCTCAAACTCATTAAATAATAATAATTCATAAAGAAAATTCAAAGGAAATTAATGTTTAATAAGTGTTTGGTAATCAGATGAAAAACATCCTTAATATCTCCTTCAAAAATCATTTTGTTTGAGAAGTAATATCAAGCGATCGACACAGTGTTTCATCACCAGATGAAACACCTCGAATGTCGTCAAAAAATACTCCGCTGCGCGTCGTTTTTCAACTCTCTTCTCCGTGTTTCATCTGGTGATGAAACACTGCGTCTCATGCCTGATATATTACATCAGAGATTCACGCCTTTTTGTTCAACATGGGCGCAGTCTCTAAGTTACTTCGTCGCTATTATTATTATTATCATTATTATTATTTATTAAAAACACAGTTAGCAGAAGTCAGTTCCACTGAATTTGCAATGCCTCGAAAGTTTACAGTGTTGACCAAACTCAAGAAAACACTGGATGAAATAAACCATTATCCATTATTAGTCCATGCAAAGGGGCTGCGTGACTAATAGATAGACTGATAGACGGATAGATACTGACTGTAATATTTGAGTCCCGGGTTCTTGTCTATGTATATCGCACATGTAGTTACTTTTGGTCACGTGTGGTTCTGTGTTACTAGACTGATAGTCTAGTTATCAAATAAATAAGGCGCCTTCTCTTGACTATTGTCAGCGTTGATCTTGATGTATGTTACAGTGAAAATGCTCGATCTCCCCAAAAAAGTCACTAAAATGCTCGGAAAATGCTCATTATACAAACGGTTTTTTAAAATTAATTTCAAAGTTTTCACTTACAAAAACGTGCAAGTGTTGCAAGTAACAACAACAACGTGTACAAGTTCATAAAAACAGCCAAAAAAACCCAGCTGTATTAGGTTTTTTGTGAATTTTGAGTTTTAGTGTTCATTTTCTTTAAAAACGCAGGAGCTCGTGGGGCATGGGCTCCTGAAAAAAGTTGATTTCTATTTAATTTTCTCGGAAAAATTAATTTTCCGGGGAAAATGCCACTAAAATGCTCGAATAATGCTCAATGCTTTTGCCTCACTAAAATGCTCGAAAAAATGCTAGCATAATGCACAAAAGCCTAGCCGAATNACAAATCACGATATTTTGCGATAACCGAGTTCAACCATTGTTTTATCATTAGATCACCGAGTTTGTTTTTTTATTGAATATCTTTGGGAAGCGAAAAGATCTGCCATTTTCACGCAAGAACGATCGCAAAAAGGTGAAAAGCGTGGTTTAATTTACGCAGTAGCAAAGTAGTATTTGCAACCAAAAAAAGTTGGACGACACTGCGCATGCACTCCCACTCCACAGTGACTCACCTCCCTTTCTTTTTGTTCCATGTAAAGTCTCAGCTTTAAATCGAAGTTTTCTTTCTTCAGTTCTTGAATCAACTGAAAATAAATGATTGCAAAATTGAAAAAAAAGCATCAATTTGCAAAATGAATTCTCAAACTCATTAAATAATAATAATTCATAAAGAAAATTCAAAGGAAATTAATGTTTAATAAGTGTTTGGTAATCAGATGAAAAACATCCTTAATATCTCCTTCAAAAATCATTTTGTTTGAGAAGTAATATCAAGCGATCGACACAGTGTTTCATCACCAGATGAAACACCTCGAATGTCGTCAAAAAATACTCCGCTGCGCGTCGTTTTTCAACTCTCTTCTCCGTGTTTCATCTGGTGATGAAACACTGCGTCTCATGCCTGATATATTACATCAGAGATTCACGCCTTTTTGTTCAACATGGGCGCAGTCTCTAAGTTACTTCGTCGCTATTATTATTATTATCATTATTATTATTTATTAAAAACACAGTTAGCAGAAGTCAGTTCCACTGAATTTGCAATGCCTCGAAAGTTTACAGTGTTGACCAAACTCAAGAAAACACTGGATGAAATAAACCATTATCCATTATTAGTCCATGCAAAGGGGCTGCGTGACTAATAGATAGACTGATAGACGGATAGATACTGACTGTAATATTTGAGTCCCGGGTTCTTGTCTATGTATATCGCACATGTAGTTACTTTTGGTCACGTGTGGTTCTGTGTTACTAGACTGATAGTCTAGTTATCAAATAAATAAGGCGCCTTCTCTTGACTATTGTCAGCGTTGATCTTGATGT